TTATTCATATTAGAACAGGTGCTACATACACATAGTCCTTCCTTTTACCTGGTGGTTAGTTATTCGTAAGAGATTGAGACCAGCAAGATGAAATTTATGAAGGATTCACCTGTGATATTATGCACCAGTTACTTGAGATTATGCAAAATAACTTCCTACTTTTAATAATGAACCTGTTAGCAGTTCAGAGACTATTAAAATGCAAACAATATTTTCCTGTAACCTGGTGCACCACTTGAGCTCTAGATGAAACAACAGCCTGTATTTGTAAAACAACATTAAGTGCAGGCAGCAGAAAATAGGTGGGTAATAATTTACCATGCTCGTCTACGTCAAAGGAAAAGCACCTAAGGCCCCATAAAGAATCTAAATGACCTACCCTCAGCAAACTTGGGCTTGTTCTTCACTGTTTGCCCAGAACACATCAGGAGCAGCTTTAAGGATTTAATCCTCGGTGTTCTTCAGCTGACACTCCCAGTGTAGGCCTACTCCACTTCTGTTAAGCACATTTCTTTCAGGACAGGTATATATTTAAAACCCTGTTTCCATGGGAGCCAAGTACATTTATAAAATACACTATTCTTTATCTCTTCCATCTAGTGAACTGTTTGGATTTGAGCTATTCAGGGAAGGAACAATCTGGTTTCACAAACAAATGAGAAAAGAACAAGAGAAAACATTTAAATAAAATGGTATATGTCTGAAGAATCTATGTTGAATGCTTATATGTTAACAAGAGTATCTGGAATTACTTTTTTAAAGCATGGAATGGAACGACTATGGTCATCTAATTTCACTGCCTGTATCTAAGAAGTGCCTTGGCTTGTTGCTGTAGCTAGAGCCAGCACGTTTAGGAAAGCCTCTAAAACCCGGTGTAGAGTCAAGGCAACTTTGCACTATTAGAAAGCTCAGCTTTAGTGAAGCTGGCAGACAAACTCTTGCTCACCTCTTTTGCAATACCCTTTCACCTTCTGCTAAGACATGATACTGGACAGAATTCTGGTCTGGAGGCACTTGGCTCTCAGCTGCGTAGTCATGTTAATGGAGTGCTATCAGTAGAGGGTGATTTTTTTCAGAGTAATTTATTGTTGTGATAGAGGTCACTAAAGCATTGCTGCTTCTCTGTGCTATGTATCCAGGTTGAAACGTTGTTTCCCAGTTAATGTGAAGCATTACTTTAGAAGTTCTGTTTCAGCCAATACAGTTAAATAATAAAAATTAAAAAAAGCTTTCCCACAGTTTGTCGTAAGCAACAAGATTTGCTCAGCTTTGAACCACAGGTCAAAGTGTAACAAACCAACAGGATGCTGCAGCGATCCAAGTCTAAATTATGTACTAAAAATACTTTTCCTGTTACACTACCTTGTGACTGCAGTAATTAAAATGCAGCTACTCAAAGTTAGCTGTTGAGTTAACCTTCCATAGCAGCAGAGCAGGTTCGGCTCACTCCAGGAAGAGCCTTGTGTTGGGTTAGCTGCTCGAGTGAGAGTCACTGCCCTGTGAGTCATGTTAGGGATCCACCCACCGCAATCCAAACGTCAAGATTTCACACAGACCTTACAACTGCGTTACCAGCAGGATCTCTAGTTCTGTTGTGTGGAACCACACACAGAATAGAAGCTTCACCCTTCCTCAGAGAACAGGACAACAGCAGGTTGTTCTAGACTACTTGTAAGAGCAGGATGTCCAACGTTTTTCACCAATTTATTGATCCTTAGGATCAAGATTAGTTACTAATAGATGTCATATGTCCACAGGGTCACAAAATCACACACCAAAACACTACTTCCTCTTTGCAGCAGACTTAAGTATTCTGCTAAGAAACTTAAATGACTCAACTAAGCTGGTGAACTTGGTGACCTTCATCCCAGTATACGGAAATAATCCGCAAATGAAACTGTAATTCTGGCAGCAAGGTTTTGGGTTTTTTTAAGTATCAAATTGCAGATAGCAAAATAAAGCTTTTTATTCTCAACAATATAGAACAATTAGTCTTATCTCCACTTTCCAAGGCTCACAACCATACACATGGTTTATCAGAGATCAGTCGCTGGATATACTGGGTCAGTTTGACAAGGTGTACATTCTGAATGAGGAATTCAGTATAAACCACTTGGATATCCACAGAAGGCTTGACAAGAACCCATAATTAGTTAAACTACAGAAGACAGGAATTAGTATGAGCAAGGATAAACAGCTTGTAAGAATCAACGAAGTCTGTGTTGAAAAGGGAATTTGTAGAACTCCTAAGTTGGTCTGGGATCAATTCCAAGTTTTTTCTTAACTGAGTAGGGCACAGAAGTTAGGAATAAGCTAACGATAGCCACTGACAGAACTGTGAGGTGTCACCAATACTGAGAATAAACCAAACCAGGAGAAATATGTGGATCTAGATTTTTTTAATTAAAGTGTCATAATGTTAGGTTATGCATTTAAATTAGTAATTTTCCTAGCAAATGAAGTTCAGCTGCAAATGACAGCAGGGGCAAGAGACTGGAGTGCTCAATCACACTACGTGACAGACACCAAGAGGCAAACAAGGAATTTATAACAGGAAAGAATTACTGTATTCTTATATTCATTGATTTATATGCTGATACGGATATGGTCTTCACAGCTCAAGTTCCAGAAGGTCTGAAGTTAAGTTTGAAGTGGGCAGCTAAGCAATGAAAGCACAAACAAAAGCTTACTATGTTTAGTAAAACAAAGGCTATAGCTACCAGCAAACTAACAGTAACACAATACTTAACAGGAAAACATGCACATTGCCAGAATAAACACGTAGTACAGTGATGTCCAGTAAAGTTGTACACATTCAGAGGAGCCATCTAAGAAAAGAAGGCAGCTGAACTTGTCACAGAGGATAGAAAAGTTCTTTTTATTATATTCGTGATGGCACTAATGTGACTGAATGTAATATACAGTGTATAGAGAAACATACCCAGAGAACTATCTTGACTATTTGAAGCTAGACCTTGTCAAAGTTATTTGGATCAATGCATCCTAAACATACAAACTGAAAGAGAAGTCCCTTAATAATTCCAAGAAGTCTGTGGTTTACAAATCAATAGCAAGTTCAGGCTTGAAATCCTTGGTGATGTTTCTTGACTCCCAAATTTTTTCCACCAGAATTTTTGTTGAACTTCATGTTTTTAGTTTTCTGTAAAGTGGAACAATTTGAATAAAATACCTTTAGGAATTCCTATCTAGCTTTTCAAATTTTAGAGAAGGAATGCCTCAGTCTCCTGGGGAGTAGTAGAGCCCAGGCTTTACAGTGAAGCAAAATGATGCTGTACATTTGTTTGCAATGTTGTCCTTCACGAGTTGTCACTGAAATTTGAAACCAGGCATTCAAAATTCCAGAGTCGAAGTAAGGTTCACATGTGTTGTTCACCAAGTAAAAACGGACAGAATGGATGGGATCAGAGTTTTTAGTACGGCAGCTGTTTTTTCCCCACTCCAGTTCCAAGCATTGTCTGGCATACAACCAAATCTGTGGATTCTGGGCTCTTCTGACACCTCTACACTTTGCAGTGAATCTTTCTACCTACGAAGATGTAGCCTCATCCCCTTATAACATCTCATCATTAGTCGTCAGGTACTTGTAAGGACTGGCAAATTCCATACTTTTCGATGTCTGATCACAAATTGATCCTTCTTCTCAAAACTTTGTATTCTGTGCATAGCATCTTATTAAATAGCATAGCTATTAGACTTGTAGAGCATTTAAAATCTTTAATCAGTTTTCCTAACAGGCAATGGCAAGAGTTTACTGCAGAGGAGAGATTATGGAAAGAATATTATGGTTTTCTCCCCTGAAACTTTTTTTGCAGTATGAGAGACTGACCCAGTTTTGCTGCTTGCTCTTTTCCTCCACCTATTTCAAGGCTAGAAAATTTGTGAAATAGCTAAATGGCTGAAGTTATGAATATTACGTTTAAAGAAGAGAAGGGAAAACAAAACATTTTTATGCAGACTAATGAAAAACAAGAGCAGAGTTTTAACACCTAAAGCTCACAAATAGCATTTTCCAAGAGATTAGAATCTGCCGTACCTGCAGTTTTCACGTAGCTTCTCCTTGCAGTTAGAATTTAGCATTTAGTCGCTGGAGGAATTCTCCAGATTGGAACAACCAGTACAGGTTCCACAGCTTTGTAACTTCAGTCCTATTCTTGGATTTATCTGGCACATTAGCACAAAAACTATTTTGGGGAACACTGGCTTTGCAGGCTTCTCTAACATTCCAAATTCATTTCCTAACACAGATGGGAGGCATCAGAAATAGTCTTTAGCAATTAGGTGGGGACAGTCATATTGTAGGAAAGGAACTCACTGATTCTATTAGGCAAAACCTCCTCAGTACAGACTTCTAAAGGCAATGTTATCAGCTGAGACTGTAAAGTTACAGCTCAGATTGTTACTGGCTTGCTTTCAGATAGAACTCATTGAACATGAAACAAGTTTTGGGGGGAAGAATGGGAAGTTTCCATTCAGATAATTTTAACAGTATAGGGTCACAAAACAGAAAATTAGTATTTGACAGCACCCAACTTTTAACCTCGAAATTTCATTAAGTGTAGTTTTTACTGTGCTTTTCTTCTTTAGCAAAGACAGCAGCTACATTTGTGCAACCACAAATGCTTTTCAAGCCCTTTTAAGCACAAACTTAGTTGCTAGTTTAATTCTCTGAACCCCCACTTTATGGGGGGCTAATGCTATCGATTCCCTTTTGGAAAGGATCAGATATGCATAGCAGTGCCATAATGTAAACTGAATTCATGGTCTCAGACTCTGCCAGGCCGCTGCTGCAGAAGGGCATATACACAGCACCACTAATAAGTCATGCTTTTAACAGTTGGCAGAGAAACCTGTAGTCATGTGAAGAATTGGAGTTGATTTGCACCCACTCTGGTTTTCTTTCCTGATGCAACGTTACCCCTACTTTCTTTCAAAAGAAGATTCATTATACAATAAATGTTTTTTTTTCTGGACAGAAGACATTCTTGCCATTGCCACAGAACTTTTATTTCAAATACATTCTTACAATAAAGCTGTATTTTGTTATACAAGTAGATAAACCCAGGAGATAAAAATTCACATATTCCATTTTAAAATAGTGGGCTCCACTAAACTGCAGCTGTTCCCATTCATTTCCTACACCGTGTTAGGGATTTTTCAGGGCAGTGGAAATGAAGATGTAAACCAAGTCATCTAGGCAATTAAATTACGGTCCAAGGAAATTTGTAACACCACCATAGAAAAGTGTATCCGCTCATTCTTCAGGCTCTTTGCAGTGTAGGGTGGCAGAAGTTTCTTTATAAACTCAGAAGTTTCTCGTTGAGAGCAATCTGTGACTGTGTGAGGTTTGCCAAGTAGGTTACCATCAGTAGGTCCTGAGAGGGGAAGAAAAAAAAAAAAAAAGTGTTCAGAAATATTATCAGACATAGTAGCCTGTTAGTGGGTTGAATTTTTAACACTTGTAAAGCAGTTTAAAATCAGCTACTAGAAATACTGTTAGTCCTCGAAGTCCCACCCTGAAGAATGCTTCCCTCACAGGAAGATGATCTTGGTATTCCCAGAATATGAAACACTGCTTGTGAAATTTTAACTCTGAGTTCATCCATGTTAACCAGGCAAGTCAAAGGGTATAAGCAAAATTAAAAATTAGTTCTGGTCTTGCAGACTGTGGGTGAACAACACATTCAGAAACTCAGCTTTTGCTTTCTAAAAATCTATTACAGAAATAAGGTAGCACACTAAAATCTTGTTCATGTCCCAAGTGTTACGTAAGGAGACAGAACTTCAGCTCAGGCAAAGCAAGCTGCAAGTCACCGTTATCCTTGAAATCTATGCTGCTAGACAATTCGTATTGTCCAATCACTCCAAAAGAAGAACTGGTACTGGCTTTCAGATTATTTGCATAATTCCCAAGTACTTTAAAACTTACTCTCTCATTTGCAGTTGCTTGCAAGATTATTATGGTGAGCTCCTTTTTGCACCTTCAGCTCTTAAAACATCAAACTACTGACAAGAAAAGGCTGTATTTTCTAGTAACATGTTTGTTTGAAAAGATAGATTGCTTTGATCACAGACAAATTTGGGTCTGTATGACAAGTTTGCAAAATTGCTGGCAATACACTGAAAAAAACGATTATGAACTTACGTTGATATTGCTGTTCAACATTGTCTCAAAGTCCTCTGGTGAAATCTTTGGCACCTGGTTAATAAGATCCATCAGGAAACGCCCAACAGTGTTGTCAGCAGCCACTTTGCCAGACTAAGCATAAGAAACATACACAATGTGAGTAAAACTCAGTAAAGAAAGTAAAACTCGGTAAAGATGGCCCAGAAAGAATATATAAACAGAAAAACAAGATGCATAAGCTTACATCAGACTTGTTTGCTGGCTCGTAGAGCTGGCCTTACCAATACATCCTCTGCATACTGCAGCACCATGGTCAGGGTGTCCTGAATCCTGGCTGACGCTGACCCCACCTGCTGTAAGTCACTGGACAAGCCAATCACTCGATTAGGGCTGAAACAAGTCTTCATGATAAGATCCACTGAAAGCAAAAGGAGAATCAGTGAACAAAACCACCACAACTGCCACAGAAACCAGTTTAAATCTTTAACCCGTTAAAGATTTTTAGGATAGCTTCAGCAAGATAGTCTAATTCCCAGCAGAATTTCCAGAATGGCAATTTTACCGGGGTTAAAAAAGTATTTGAACAGTGTCACAACAATGGTTATAACCAAAACAGGAAGAAAATGTTCACCTCCTATCCGCTCTGTATCATAATAAACATATTTCACTGTCAGAGGTGTAAACATCACGCCCATAGTCTTGCCAGGGACTCCCATTGGGGCACTAGAAAACAAACAAACCAACCACAAACAACAAAACATTTTCAGCATGGACATATTTAAGGGAGGAAGAAAGAGATTTCCATCTCGCTGATCCCTGTCAGCAATGAAGTGTGAACATGAGCAGGTTACTTATTCTCACCAAAATCAGCACTATTAAAGACCATAGATAACTGAAGACAGGAAATCGGTCCTGGCATACTATTTATTAAATGCTCACTTTCATCAAAGAATATTCCTATTTCTATTATTCAAAGTATTTGAAGTTCATTTATGCCCTCAGTAAGATGTCATGGACCAGCTTCCTTTCTGAAGATGCACAGTCAAGAAGCACTAGACCTCTGCTACAAAGAAAGGCTGGGGTTTTATCCTTAAAAAGGAGAGCTCTTCAGCCAGTAGTGGGAAGAAGAGTGAGGTAGAATAGTTTCATTTCTCAATATTTAATCCCCATTATTAATAGATTAAAATGGCAGGGGCTAAGGGAAGAAAGACTGATCAAGAAGATGCTGTTTCAATTACGTTTTAACTGCACTAATCTTCCAGCTCATACAAATAAACTGCCAACCATAAAGCCCAGTGACGACGGGCTAGCATTCGGTGTGATGAGGTCAGTGACAGTAAGGATAGCTAAGCCAATCCTATGAAACGTCACCAACATGTTCACAACATGGTTAAAGTTACTTAAGTCACAATTTCCCACCCCAACAAGGTACTGGCTTACACAGGGTTAGGTCTTTCAACTTACATGTGATGGGCAGTAAGCCATGGTCCCTGTCTCTCTACCACGCTTTAGCTACTGCACAGTAACGAGGCACTACAGCCGGCTATGCTTCTCATTACCCTGATGTGGTCTCTCAGTAACTGAGATAGCTCCCATCCCGGAAACGCAGCTCCCAGAGTACCTGACATAAGCTTTAATGCTCATGCGTGAGTTCTGGAGACTTGTGTCCACAGTGAGGTGGATTGGATTGTGCGCTTCCCGGCTGTAATACTCGTGGATCAGGACAGAGTGTTCCGTGATGTCATGACCTGTTGCATACCTTCAAAAAAGTACATGTTGAGGAGCCATTCTTCCAACGTTCAGGTGCCCACTGTTTGCTGTTGTTGGTATTTAACAGGTTGGTAACCCAAAACGTCGATTTCCAAACACTGAGCTGCTGAAGCATACTAAATACAAGTGTTTTAGCTGGGGAATTTGTAGTTTTATGGCCAGCTGCCCTATAACTGTCAGAATCACAGGCTGAGCAGGCACATGCCTGAAATACGCACAGAGCCAGTGTAGGAACAGCCATAAAGAGCTGGTACAGTTGCCATCAGACACTCAAGATTCAGCCGTCTGTCACTACGCTCTGGACTAACTCTTTATTTCGGTGTAAGCCAAAGCATGCCAACAAATTTGGACCAAGCAAGTAGATCTTCCACAAATCACACATCTCTGCAGGAGGTAGAACTTGTTAATCTACCTCCTTTAGCTGCCCTATAATTAGCTTCTCACATACGCAGGAAAACTCCTGTCATTAGAACTGCACTTTGCTGTGCCACTAGAAGGTTGTTGAGGCAGTCTGTTCCACAGGAACAGAACTAAGCTATTTTGTGGGGTCAGAGAAGCATGAAAAGATCTGTCTACCACACACTCAGACACAGGCTGTTCCCCTAACACCCCGCTGGCCTTGCTTGGCAGCCCACACACAAGCACTTCCACCTTTTCTGAGCAGAGAACTGCATGCTCAGGCTGGTACCACCAACTCCTCCTGAGGCCTTTGGTACTTAAACCACTCATTTTGTGTTCTCCCTTCTTTCCACCCAGTGGTGTGGGTTGGATTACAGGTAGCCAAGTTCTAGCAAAGCTGTGCAAGCATGCTCTAACTCATCACTCCTCTGTGACACCTTTGTGAGATAGAAACAACACCAAATGCTGCAAGTCTCCAACACTGTCTCTTCCTATTACGAGCAGCAGGAGCTTTACAGCTGACTCTGTGTTACTGTCACACGCATTCGTGCTTCTGCTTCTCGGCCTGTGATGTAGGGCACGGCGTCATGTAAGGGACCAACACAACTGCCCGATGTTCTTGCCGAAGAACTTACCAGCCCAAGATGATCTCGCTAGGAGACACCTTCTTGTGCAACTCGTACATGTTTTTTGCAAATTCCATATCGACTGCCACCTGAGGAAGGGGACAGGGAGAGGTCAGCTGGTTACAGGGATGCCTGACCCTCAGCAGAAGGCAACAGGGGCACAAACCACGAGGGCCGCCATCAGAGGGAGTGCAGGGGTCGCCCCCCTCGCCAGTCACCTCCCCCCCGGGGACCCCCGGCACGGC